TCTTACCTAACTAATAGATCATTATACGTCAGTTATAATGGGTTCAACTCTGCCTTCTTTTCGCCAACTTCAGGGGTTCCTCAGGGCAGCAATTTAGGTCCCCTAATATTTCTAATATTTATTAACGATATAGGCGACCAACTGAAATGCAATAAATTACTATTCGCAGATGACTTAAAAATATTTTAACCGATTTATAGCATAGCTGATTGCCTGAGCCTCCAAAGTGATCTAGAAATTTTAAGCCTGGTGTAATTCCAATAAGTTATTTATGAATGAGTCTAAATGCAAAGCAATTTCATATACAAATAAAAAATACTCAATTACTTTTGACTATGCTTTTAATGGAGCGCAATTACAAAGATGCGACTCAATTGTAGACCTTGGAGTTTGCTTTGATAAACATTTTTCATTTAACAGGCACATCGACAATATTTCAAAATCATCGTACAGAATGCTGGGCTTCTTAATTCGTAATACGAGTTTATTTAATAATGAAAAATCAGTCCGAATTCTGTACTATGCCTTTGTACGTACGAGGTTAGAATATGCAGCCCTAGTGTGGAGCCCTATTTATACTGTTTATATCACACAACTAGAAAATATTTAAAGAAAATTCCTAAAGTTTGCTTCGCTCAAGTTTGATAATTTTTATCCACCCAGAGGTTATAACCATGACACACTCTTGCTTCGATTTGATATGAAACCACTGAGGTTGAGAAGATTAATCATATCAGTTAGTTTTCTATACAAATTGGTTAATAATAAAATAGATTCTCCCTTTTTATAAAGTCTATTAAATTTTAAAGTACCCAGACTATTTGGCAGACATAATACAATTTTTTACTGTACACAAGCTAGAACTAATGTGATGTTAAAGTCTCCAATTTATAGTATGTGTATAAATTTCAATGATCTCTGTATTAATTGTGATATTCATTTCTCATCTTTAGATGTGATTATTAAGGATTTAGTTGAAAATTTTAGTAGGTAACTCAGCAATATTATGTTTCTTTTTCAAAGTTTATTTTGTTAACTAAAATTGCCATATATTTTATATTATTTTCTTTTTATATTTTGTCCTGTTATTAGATCTTGTATCTGTTGGGCAATAAAGATTATTATTATTATTATTATTATTATTGAAATCAAATCAAAGTCAAATCATCTTAATCGTTAAAAAAAATTTAATTTCCATAAAATAACATTAGATCATTCGCCTAAACTTGTGCGCTTGTGTGCGAATCATACCCTTAACTTTAGAAACAAAATAATAATAGAATATATACAGGGTTTTCATTTTAAAACGAACCACCTTCAATATATTTAAATTAAAAGAATTTTAAAAAATCCAAAAAATACGTCGAGTTATATAAGAAGGGGGAACTTCTATCACATTATTTAATTTAATCTAGTGCTCACCCCCTCGCGCCCACCCACCCCCACTTTAAAATTTCAAATGGCACCCCCTTACAAGTGACACCTCATTTTGAAGAGCATAACATTCTCTATCCAATGGTGTGAAAAAATAGTAAATCGGATGGCTATTTAAGGATCTGGAAGATAAAATGTGTGCTGATAAGATAAAATAATAAGGTAAAAACAATATTGTTTTTAGGTATCTTTTTGTGCAAAAGGTAATAAAAATGTCCTTAAAAACATTTAAACTGGCACTTTTATCATTAATTCATTTTCTACATTGCTCCCAGTAAGTTTAAAATTAAGAAATTAAAATGGGATACACTTTAGAGGAAAGAATTGAAATAAATTTTCTTTATGGGGCGTCAAACCACCAGAGTATTTATTTATTTATTTATTTAATTATTTCCATAAAACAATATAATACTGATTTAACATTTAGTATAAAATATATGTATAAAGTGTAATAATTATATGGCATCATAATGTTTCAGGTACATTAGAATCTCAAAACAGCCAAAGGCTGATAGCGAGATCAGTTTTACAGGTACATGGTTGTAGAATTTATTATATCACATTAGTTAAATTACATATTGTAGTGTTGCTTCAGTCTTCTCTTAAATATATTGAAGTTACTTGAGTTTTTGACATTTTCCGGTAACGAGTTGTAAGATAGTACGCTTGTATTGATGGTGCTGCATTTTCCATGATTGGTTAAAGGTTGTTGTTGATGAATGTGTGTTCTGATACGTGTTTCATAGTTATGATGTTCTCTGTTTTCAGGTAAGACGATATTAGATTTTTGTAGCTTATTTTTTATTCGATAAATTAATTTGCATTGTTCGCATTTAATCAACTTGTCCAGGTTATTTATTTTTAATGTGTTGTAAAGTTCATTGGTTGGAGTTCTCCAGTGTAACCCGAATATTGATTTTAAGCATCTGTTCTGAAGTCTTTGAGCTTTATTTTTAAGTGTGCTTGAGCAGGTACCCCAGGAAGTTATACTATGTCTAAAATGTGGCTCTATATAGGCGAAATATATTTGTCGTTTGATTTTCTCATTGATTGTGTCAGATATTCTTCTAATGGCTCCTGAGATAGGTAAGACTTTCTTTCTTATACCATTCACATGATCGTTCCATCTCAGTTGATTGTCAATCGATATACCTAGATATTTTATTGACTGAACCTCTTTTAAGTCATCATTATCAAACTTAACGACTATTCTTTCAACATTCTTGTTTTTTTGTTTAAAGTCCATGAAAACGGTTTTTTCTATGTTTAGAATAAGTTGATTTTGAACAGTCCATTTCTTGAAGAGGTGCATATCTTGGTTGACAGAAGCTTGAATACTAGGTATATCATAATCACTAAAAACAAGAACAGTATCATCTGCATAGGAAAAGTATTTTGACATTAGACCAACTTCCCTCAAGTCTTGCACGTACAGATTATAAAGTATGGGTCCCAGAACAGAGCCTTGGGGGACTCCATGTTTAACAACTTGTACCTGACTATGCTGTCCGTTAACTGAGGTGTACTGTTCTCGTCTGTGAAGGTAAGATTCAAACAGATGTTTGCTAACTCCTCTAAAGCCCAGGTGTTCCAATTTCTCTATTAATTTACAATGGTTGACGGTATCAAAGGCTTTGGAGTAGTCAATAAAGATAGCTACAACTATTTTTCCTAGGTCCAGCTCCCTACGAACGTGTTCAGTCATGTCAGTAACTGCAGCAAGTGTTCCACTACATCTTTGAAAACCATATTGTTGTTGATCAAATCCAACAGTGTTTTCAATGAAATCACAAATTCTTCTTTTTAAAACTTTTTCAAATATTTTACTGAATATAGAGAGTAGCGATATAGGTCTATAGTTTTTTATTTTATTGGCATCATCTTTTTTAAAAATTGGGATTATCTTGGCTTTTTTAAGTTCTTGTGGAAATGTTCCACTTTCTAGATGATTATTAATAATTTTTACGATACTAGGGATTATTTCGTCTTTTATGTTATCTAAGTCTTTTACAGTTATTGAATCGTCACCGGGAGAAGTTTTTTTCATATTATTAATAATCTCCTGGATTTCTTTTATGTCGGTTGGAAACATAAATATAGTGGAATTGGGGAGAGAATTCGGAGAGTAGTTGTTGTTAAGATTATTCGTGTTGTGTAATAGTTCTGTAACTTGATGGGTATAGTATTCATTAAACATATCTGCTAATGCCTTGTCATCGACTTCAACTTCATTTTGTGTGATTTTAATTGGGTTTTTGCTTTTGTTAGAGTTACCTGTAATAATTTCATCAAGCACATTCCATACAGTTTTTTGGGAGTGTGCATTATTAAGCAGCTTTGCATAATGTGTTCTTTTTGCTGTTCTAATCATTGCTGTAACTTTATTTTTGCTTTTCTTAAAATTATTTTTGGCATTTTCATTTTCAGGGTGTTTTTTCATGTATGCATACTTTCTGTCTCTATCTTTTATTTCTAATAGTATTTCTTTGCTTATCCACAATTTGTTATGTTTTCTAGTTTCTTTAGTCACTGTATATTTTTCTTTAGTCTTTTGCAGCAAGTTTATTAGTTCTGTAAAGTTGTTAATTGGTGTATTTTGTACATACTGTTTAATGTAGTTTTTAAAGTTTCTGTAATTAATAGTTTTTGTGTATTGTTTGTTTGATTCTTTGTCTGTTTTGGGCTCGCTAGTTGAACATGTCAAACACCTATGATCTGTTATTGGAGTGTCTATGTACTCAATTGTATGTTGTAGGTTATTAACATTGGTGACAATATGATCAATGATACTATATGAGCTATTAAAAGTATCTATTCTTGTTGCAAATTCTCTGGAAATTTTGTTAAGTATCTTAAATCCATAGACTTCCAAAAGCTTCTTGTAATCGTCTGTGTTTTGGTGCATTTCCAATAAATTGATATTCATATCACCTATGATAATTGCATTTTTGTATTTTTGCAGCAGGTTCTCAAGAGTTTCACTAAAACCCTGATAGTTAGCAGCTGGTGGTCTATATATAGCTATAAAATTATATACTTTAACTCCCATTTTTATATTTATAACCATATGTTTCAGTGTCTATATTTATTTCACGCTCACTTAGGTTGAACTCCAGATAATCTGCTACATAACATGCTATACCACCTCCTCTACCTTCTCGACATATGTGCATAGATTAGTAACTATTAATTTCAAAAAATTTGTTATCACTCTCAGAAAGCCATGTTTCTACAACTATAATAATGTCGATTTTTTTTCTTGTGAGTAAATTAAACACTGTAGTTCATCAAGTTTGGTTTTTAAGCTTCTAATATTAATGTAAAGTATGTTGAATGTTAATAACTAATTGTCCTTTGTATATTCACTATTCACTTTTATTGATTTAGTAAATCTTGAATATGTTCTACACTTCTAATTCTAACAGCATTTTCTCCTTCCTTCGTTCTTGCAAAAACAGTACCATTTCTATGCCATACAAACTTAAAACCATTTTCTTTCAGTATAAAGGCTTCTTTTAATAGGTTATAGGTTAAGAGTGTGATTTCTTCATTTATATAGATTTTATTTATATTATTGCCGATTTGACACTTTTCCCTGTTATTTCACCTTTTTTGTTTTTATTTTTGAGTAGATTCAGCCTTTTTTGTTTATCAAATAATGTAGCGATGACCAAGGGTCTATTATTGGTTGGTACTATTTTAATTTTTTCTATGTCACCTTCTGTTACCCCAGCATCAATGTACTGCAGAACTTTGGTAACTTTAAGTTTCGCTTCTTCTATGTTATCCTCCTTTTGTTCGCAAACTCCATTTACTACAATATTCTTTGAAATTTTTTCCCTTTCTATATCATTTATATAACTTTTTACATAGTGCAGTTCGCTTTTTAGAATTCTGTTCTCATTTTTGAGCTCTTCTGCTATTTCAGCGAACACTCTATTTTTATGTTTTTCCTCTTCAAACATTTCGTTGATGAATTTCATCCCATTGTTCATTTGAACTACTTCTGTTTTTAGTTCTAGTATCAGTAGTTTTAAAGTTTCAAGGCTGGTAACTTCCTCATCTATATTCACATTGATGGGATGTTCATTGACGCTAACCTCACTTTTTTCGTGACTTAGACAAATCCATTCCTTTTTTCGGGATTGTAATACCCTTATCTCGAATTCACTTAACTGGGCACATTTTTGGTGAAACCATGACTTGCAGATACTACATTGTATTTTATACCCCGATTTCGTTATATTTTTATTGCACAAATTACAAGACAACCTGCTCGGCATCTTCTTCTTCTTCTTCTTCAATTTAACGAGAGGCATCCGAATAAAAACGTTGGTCATAAGTATGTGATGGAATTTGTTCGTAAGTTTCAAGCTACAGGAATGGTATGTAACCAAAAAAGAACTGGACCAAGAATTCTGGATGAGGGTTGTCAAATTGAAGTGTTGGGTCATTTTGCTGCGAATCCAAATTTATCGATTCCAAAAGTCTCCAGACTGACAAATATTTCTACTGGTTCTGTGCACAAGATTTTGAAGAAGAATAGATTTTTTCCATATAAATTACAAATTCTACAAAAACTTCGCGAAGATGATTGCGATAGAAGAATTGAGTTTTGTGAATTAATGTGTCAAAGAATTGATGAGAATGCTAAATTTTTAGAAAATATCTGCTTTTTTGATGAATCGACTTTTTTTCCTTAATGGGTTTGTTAACAAACATAATTGTAGATATTGGGATAATGAAAATCCACATCAATATGTGGAGGGTAATACTCAATTTTCACGCAAAGTCAACGTTTGGGCGGGAATTCTGGGAAACGAAATTATAGGCCCCCTTTTTTTTGAAGAAAATTTAACTGGACAGTTGTATCTAGATCTGCTTGATAATGACATTGAGCCACTTATTGTACATTCAGTAGAAAATCAAGTAGATGAAAATGGGGCCATGCTTCTTAATGAAGAAATGCTACATTTCCAACAAGACGGAGCTCATTTTGCTTTACCAGTTAGATAGTGGTTAAATCAGCGGTATCCCGGCAAATGGATTGGTAGAAGAGGTGCAATGGAATGGCCAGCAAGGTCTCCTGATTTGACTCCCCTAGACTTTTTTTTGTGGGGCCATTTAAAGACGGTTGTATACACAACTCCACCTGATAGTATACAGGAACTGAAGGACCGGATATCACAAGAGTGTAGAAGTATTTCGTCTCAAACTTTAGCCCGTGTCCGCGAAGAATTTTAAGATCGACTTTACTATTGCCTAGAGAAAAACGGCGAACATTTCGAACAATTTATAAAGTAAAAAATGTATTCAGTTTAAAAATAAAAATATACAAACCTTTTTACTTTTTTCGATTTACAGCACACATTTTATCTTCCAGATCCTTCGTTTTATACATATAGTATTGGTACCAGTGCGCAAAATTGTGACTTCATCGATGACGTGTACGTCGTTTCCTTTTAAATTTACTATATATGTCATATGTAATATGTCAAATTCGTACGAACGCACAGATTATAAAGAAACAGATAGGTAACTCAGTGTGATATCGTGTTACAGCGCCACCTTGTGAGAATTACGCTCTGGTTTTTAGGTTTTGGAGGTTAAATAGTTTGAAAACAAATCGAAATTATAAAGTGTTTTATTACATTTTAGAAAAAGTAAATTTAGAAAGTAAATAACTCTCATTTGATATAAAATAAATAAATAAATAAATTATTAATTATTAATTTATTATTGACAATATTATCTAAACTGATTGTAGAATCAACGGTAGAATAATATAATAAAGCACAAAAACACAACAGAACAAAACGATACACACACGAGGTCTCAGAATATAAAAGAATGATAGAAATGAAACTTTTTTGTATTGAAAATTATTAAAATATTTCAATTTCGCAATACTGTCACAGATGTCAGTTTTACCGATTTTATTTACTGTCGTCTATGGTTACCTCATGTTCCCGGTATAAATAATTCTGCGAATAGCGCCATCTAGTAAGAATTCCGCTCTGAAAAACACTGTATCAAAGCACCCCGTAGACGAACATGAACGAAACATTGTATCAAAAGATATAAATGTAGGTGTAAAGAATCCCGAATTATAAATAACTTACTAAACATATTAACAAATATTTAGACTACTTAATCTTTATCATAGATGGGTGTGTCGTCATTAACCAATATTAAAATTATTTTAACTGATAGTAAACCAATTGTGTCGCACTCAGGGCAATTTTCAGATCAGAAACAAATTGTTATAAGGTAGATAGTCGACGAGTTGTTGGAAAATGGTTTTGTGCGTAAATATAATTCCCCATACGCTTGTAAAGTTTTATTAGTCACAAAGAAAAACGGAAAAAACCGTATGTGCATTGATTATAGACAAGTAACAATATACTTTACCAATTTTGAAAAACTTTTGAGGCGATTATCTGGTTTTAAATATTTTATGTCTCCCGATCTCTATTCCGGTTATCACATAAGGGTTGGGCCTGAATCTATACTGTTTACTTCTTTTGTCACTCAAGATGGACAATATGAGTATTTAAAAGTCCCATTTAGACTAATAAACGTGCCAGCAGTTTTTTAGCGAATGTTTAATGCAGGTCAGTTGCTGTTTACAAAATTATTGATTGATGTATTGATTTTAACGTTTTAACGGTTTAACGTTAAATTTAAAAAAATGTTATTTTCTTAAAACAAAATATGGTAATCTACCATAAACTCTAAACTAGCTGTGGCAGGGTACGCACGACCAACAAGTGTGCATGAAGTAAATTTCAGTCTAGGCTGAGTCAAGTTTTCCTCACCATAAACAGTTTTACAATTTAAGTATATTTGATTTACAAGGCTTCTCTTAAACAAAAATTTAAAGAATTATGTTTTTGGGGAGCCTCTTTGTTAAGAAGATACAGGTTGTTTTTTAAACAACCTTAACTTAAGTTAAGTTAAATCTCTCGGCTTGTAGTCCGCAGTGCTAACTACTACACCACCGAGGGCGATAAATTCCGTTCTCAAGATCACTTCGTAGGACTTCTTTTTCTCACTAGATGGCACCACTGATAATAAAGACATTTCTAATACCTACCTCACAATCCACACAACAAGGTCTGTTCTATCTCGTACTAAAAATACAAAAAATCACTGCAACACTGCACAGTTTAACGGCGGCCATTTTTATTGTTTACAATTTTTGTGCTTTGGGTTTGTGCTCTGTTTATACAGATTAATAATCGTTTTAAACGTTGTGTTTCTCATAGTAAGCCTTAAAAGAGACCTTACAATGCTAAGAACAACATTTTACTCCTCTATTGTAAAAAATAAACTTTATTCTATCAGGGCTGTCATAAAACTGTCAAATGTCAATTTTAAGGTTAAATTATAACCCACAAATAAACCTTTAAATTGTCATTGGACAGCCCCGATAGAATAAGGTATATTTATTATAAAAGAGGAGTAAAATGGTTGTCCTTAGCACTTAAAGGCCTTATTCGAGGCTTACAAGTGCCTCTGTAAGAAACCCAACGTTTAAAACAATTATTAAACAGCACAAACCCAAAGCATAAGAATTGTAAACAACAAAAATGGCCTCCGTTAAACTCTGTGCAGTGTTGCAGTGATTTTTAGTATTTTTAGCATGAGATAAAACAGACCTTGTTGTGTGGATTGTGACCTACCTATTGATATTGGTAGACCTGCTTGTCATTATTATTTTTGTGTTTTATGGTAACCACGTTAATTACATCACGAAAATGGGCAAAAGGCGTCGTCACTCGCCCGTTTTTACTTCATCAAGCAGCTTTAAAGGGGAAAAGGAAAATGTACCTACGACTTAAATTAAGGAAGACAAGACGCAAACTCAAAGCCGCTAAAATGGCGGCAGATCAAGAACGGAATCCTTCCGTAGTGAAGGTTAGTTATTTTAGACGTTGTATGACTTTCCTTTCTAGACTAGTATTAGTCCAATTTAAGTACAGTATTGTGCTTACTTTTATCCCAATCAAAAGTTCTATAGTTTTATGGGATATTTCAGGTGAGTCACCGCATTTTGAGAATGTTATCCCTTTAAACACACCCCTCCAGGATCCACTAGCATTAGATACAATTTTACCCTTAACTAAAGAGTTGCGAAAATTAATTGGGTGTGAAACAGGAAATACAGACACTATAAACATTTCGCAAATAGTATAAAAAGTACAATACATTTATCACTTAACACTAGTCCAATAGTCGAGAATAATGCATTTAGATACAGATAATGCGTTTACATACCTACCCTTAAAATTTTATTGGATTTCGATTTAATTTAAAATGAAATGTGGACTAGGTACAACCCAAATTTTTTAAATAATTATTATTATAATAATTATTGCATTAACATTTTAGAGTTCATTGATGGACAAAAACCTTACGGCAAAAGAATTTGAAAAAATTTAAGCGAAAATGTAAATATATTTAAATCTAATAAAACAATTTTTGCTATTGGGATTTATTATTGGTTAAAAAATTCACAAATATTCCCAACCAGTTTTAAGTTAGTTTTCCCTACCAGCTTTTCCCCAGTAGTTCCCCATCAGAAAAAGCGAGGCTCTCGTTTTATGTGGATGCAAGTTTAAGTTTGAAAAGACGTACCTACGAATTATTAGCACCATTGCGCCATTTTATTAAAAAATATGGTTTATATTTTAAAAACCATCGAGGGAAATTTGTTAAAGTAACTTTTATTAGAGTACATAATTTCTATTGACATACTTCAATCTATTTATTGTTCAAAAGTATTATTAGAAAAAATTGAATGTTAATAGTATGTTATAATAAACACAGGCAACTTCAACACATTCCCTCATTCAATATATTTGTTAAACCCATAAAACTTCTTAAATTTTGAAGTCTAGGTTTGAATAATGGCTTCGTCATTAAATCTGCAATTTGGCTAGTAGTATTAACTTTCTTTACACTGACTTCATTATCCAAAACTAATTCTCTGATAAAGAAATGTCGAATTCTTATACGCTTGGTTCGCCTATGATATTCTGGATTTTGTGCTAGTTTGATAGCAGCTTTATTATCAACCATGATAACAGGAACATCTTTTAGTTGAATAATCTGTTCCATTAATCTCTTCAACCAAATAAGTTCTCTTGCACCTTTACTAGCAGCAACTAGTTCTGCTTCAGTAGTTGAGATAGCAACTGAAGACTGTCGTTGGCTTCTCCATGATACAATTCCCCCAGCATATAGACAAGCTATCCCAGAAGTTGAACGCTCAGTAACTTCATCACCACCATGATCAGCATCTGTATAGCATTCC